TACTACTACCTCCGTTCTTAAATAAGTGCAACATTCCAAATTTTACACTATTCATGACTGACGATAAACAATTTGATTCATGTTCACACTCGGATTATTTTTATTAAATAAAATTTACATATTCAGAAACTACATTAAAACCGCTACAAAGCCTGATCAAGAAAATTTAAATTTGATAAAAAAATTGATATATAAAATAAAAGATTAAGAGTAATTTGAGTTGACCATGTGAATAGTAAATGGACCTCTTAAAGTAATTCATCTGATTAAATTTTATATAATTTACTACGTATTTGTTTTAATTTATCTGATTTATTGTTTCATTCGAAGTATATTTGACGTGGACTTGTCGTGAGTGCACTCAAAATAAATCGATACAACACTTATACGTAGTATAGCGTAGTAGAGTTCGTATCCACAGGGAAAGGAATAATTTATCTTTTTAACGAAAGAAGTAAATAAAGGGGGGTTTTGATTGTTGAGTGATTTAATTAAATTAAACACGAAGATGAACGAGTTATATGGGATTAAATTCGAGAATAAAAGGGACTTGGTCTTGCTACTTTCCACTTGTTGATATATTTTAGTCGATCATTGTTATATCTATAACTTATCCCCTCTCGAATACTCAATCGAGGAGTATATCCAATTCATCGAGGGTAGTTATTAACAACGACCGTTCACTAATAACCCTTACTATTAACCAAATATAGAACAACGCCGTATACCGATTTAATAGTAGCATTTAACCTCTTTAACTCCTTGATGAAATCAATTGAGATTGATAACCTCAACACAACGGTTTCGGTTTAACCAACAAAATTAATCCCTCTTAAGTTTATTAACCACGACCGTGCATTAATAAACCGAAGTTACTTACGTATGAAACCTTCAACGTTAATTTAACCATCGGTTCGTTGAACGTTTCTAGTAATAATCAATGTCGGAACGTTAACTAATCGTCACTTAGCCACCCTCCAACAATGATATAGAATGAGATTAAGGGAAGAATTAATAATCAAGAGGAGAAAGTAAGAAAATAACTCACAACTTTAATAATCAATCAAGCTTCAAGAGCAAAACCAAGAAATGAAAGTTTAGCTCCTCATTTGGAGACTAAACATGCTAAAAAAATATAAAAGAAATACTATTCTAAACTGAGCTTAAGAGAGTATATGAATTGGTGATTAAATGGGAAGGAAATGAGGTGTATTTATAGGTGTTTGGAGCTGCCAGGGCCATTTACCCGACCGGGTTTTTGAGAAACCCGACCGGGTAAAAGGCATATCTTTGCCAAATCTTCACCTGCATGTTCAAATGTCCCGGGTCAAGTCAGACCCGACCGGGTCCCCTAGTTGACCCGACCGGGTTTGGTCAAAATCAAATATTTTCCATGTTCTGGCGATCTTCGGCATGTTCTGGTGTCTCGGGTCAAGTCTGACCCGACCGGGTCAAATAAGTGACCCGCCCGGGTCTAGTGACTTTCTCAGCAGTTTCTGATTCTTTGTCATACCCGACCGGGTGAAGTATTGTACCCGGTCGGGTTTTTGCTTCTGGGCAGCCAAATCTTATTTTTCTTCACTTCAAAGTCCTCCTTTTCAACACCCTAATTCCTAACTCTACTTTACAACTTACAAATGAAGATTAAAATACAATTACAACTAAAATCACACAAATGTTTACAAACTAAATATAACGGTAAACAAACCACACAAATCAAACATAAAAACATACACTTATGCACTACTAATTAGTGCATATCAATATATATTGTTGTCCGTGGAATACTGGAATGGATTGTTGAAAATTATTCCACTAGTTCAATTATTGAAATTGCTTTTAATCTAGTTGGGTGGGGAATAATTAAAAAAAAAAGATTACGCATTTACGCCTACTAGTTACTGTAGTTGGAATTGGCATATCCGACTGCAAGGATTCCATTTGAAAAAAAACTATCCCTAGTCGGAATCCTGAGTTCCGATTCCCGTATATTTGTACCCTAATTATAGTTCCCGTATTTTTGCCAGTCAAACGAAAAAGTCCCGTAATTGTGTCATTTCCTCCACGAGTTAAAAAGCTTTAGGTTCTATTTAGCTTCTGTCTATAAGTTTTACTCTTATTTATGTCTTTCTCCCATGTTGTTAAAGTTAGGACAATAATTTTAAGTATTATATTTGTGTGTAGTTTAATTTTAAATATTATACCTTTATGAAAGAACTATGAAAGAACTTTTAATAAACCATATGTCAATATAAATTTCATTTTTTTGAATAATTTTGTATTAAAAATATCATTGGTCAATTTTGTAACGACCGTCCCTAAACGGCCATTACGATACTCAAACTCAAAAGAGACTCAATATACAAAGCAGAAATAAAGGCACAAAGTCTCGTCATGAAACTTTATTTCATATACAGATAAACAAAACTCGTAAGTTTGTAAGTAAAACTTTTACACCTGATCAGGATTTTGAAACAAACATTTAAACAACCCATTGATGTATCAAAGTACTAAAACAAAACATGAGAAATAGCTAGGTCTTATAACCCATCCACAACCTTGTCACCAGCTCCATACATTCTCTCACGCTTCCATCCTTCATTTATTACCTATACATACATGAGAACATGAGAGAGAGAAAAATTCTCTCTCGTAAGCAAAGTTTGCTTAGTAAGTCCCATTACATCAACTAAAACAATGGAGTCATAGCTAGCCATAAATCGATACACCACCTAGAATACCCAAGTCATTAATTAGACGTAACCACATTCAAGACACATATCATGACAAGCAAAAACTAAGTAACGAAACCCAAAAGCTTTCCTTATTCGTCATTCTTTCTTCTCACATTGTTCCTTGAGTTTATAGGCATGTAGCTCGTGTCCTGGCCCCTTGCCGATGACCTCAGATAGCTAGCCTACATCCCATCAGAAGTAACCCCGGGACTCCCCGCGAGAGGATCTCCCGCTACACTCAGCTCAGATAGTTACTTGGGGGCACGGCTAACTTAGAACATTACATATAATTATCTTTATGTCATTGTCATTTTCATCTGCATGACTGCACACAATCTCATACCAATCATAGAACTTGAATACTTCATACTCCTTCCATCCCATTTTATAAGATATCTTTACTATTCATTTGATCAAACATCGTAAACCGAAAAGTATCTTATAATTCGGGACAGAGGCAGTATTTGATAACTCAATAACCTCACAATTTACGCACCCGTCAATCGATACATCCAACTTGGAGTTTACATAAATCTCATGTTGTACACTTTCAAGTATTCAAGAAATTATATCAATTCATATTTAGCTAGACCTCCATAATTTAATTAGAACTATCATGTATAGGCGGTGATGACTTACTCGATTTACATACATACTTATATGTACAATATTCTACATCCATAAAACTCAAATCCTCCACCGATCGATTTATATACATACGTAACCGCGCGCCCGGACCGGCGCCATTTGATTTGAAAACTAGATATTTGGCGTGCGGCACCAATACACTACCAATTAATTACTCCCTATGTCCCTTTTTATTTAGTCAAACACTGTTTTTCAAGTCAAAGTTGTTTAACTTTGATCGATTACATATTTATGCAAGATAATAATGATAATATGAAAAGTATACTCCGTATGAAAATGTTCTTTGTTAAAAATACTATCATAAAAGTATAAATTTATTAACTTTTACATAAATATATTAGATAAAACAATAGATTAAAGTTTATCATCTTTGACTGGAAAAGTCAAAATTGGCTAAATAAAAAGGGACGGAGGTAGTATCAATTAACCGTATCTAATCCTATGTCCATATCAAGACCAATGGGGGTATGTAGAGTGTTTGTGATAGATATACAAACTGCCAGTTTTGTCATTACTTTTACTTACTTTACAAAATGTTCTTTATCGTAAACACTTTCATAAAAGTATAAATTTTTTAATTTCCATAATATTATACTACTCAAAATCACGGTTTAAATTTTATGAAATGACAATTTTTTTTGGCCCTCTAGGTTTACCCAACCCCAAATGATCAAATTTAGATTGATTTTATAAAAATATATATTAAATCACATAAGTTCTTAGAATATTTAACTTCGTCTGACATCAATATTGCATATGTAAATTTTTGAAAGGAAATCAGGTCTAGTTTAGTCTCATCCATTTTGATCGGGTATACCAGGTTTTAGTCTAGTCCGATAAATGTTTGGTGTATGTGCATTTTAATATTTTCTAAATCTACTTTGGTCTGATACGGTCTAATCTATCTATATATGTCCAGTCAATTTAAATCCAATTTTCTCTGGTTTGATCGAAACAATGTAACTATTTTAGTTGTACAGTATGGTTAGGTAGTCCCAAAATTAAAGCAGTTCTGTACAATCATAATTATAAACGTGGCAGTACGATGTCGTACCAATATCAAATCATGTTACTTCTTAAATTGTATACCAAAAAAGGAAAAAAAATTCAACATCAAAAAAATTTAAAAAAATCTGTGCAAATTGTGCATCAAGGTTTGGTCATAATCTAAAAGATAAAAAAAAAATTAATCTACTCATTAAAGAAGTATGTTCAATTAAAAAGAAAAAGTAATATTTGCACATTTATGACTAAAATAAAAATTATTCACAAAAATGTAACTAATAATGACTAGAATAGTAATAAAAATATAAAATCATAGTAACTTGTGTTCAATTTGTATTCTTGAGTTACTATTTCATTACATTATAATAACAATTAATCATATTTGTGTAAATAAATTTTATAAATCTGATTTTAGGAAAGATGGTTTTAACAAAATGTGAGGCAAAATGAGAGAGAATGCATGAGCGTATGTTTTTGTAGAAAAATTAAACAATCCACACGAAATGTTTTAATTAAAAAATAAAAAAGTGGAAATATTTGATAGGCGGTGCAATCGTAGGCGGTGCAATTAGGAGTCTTTAAATTCTATTCCGTAGAACGAACTGTTCTCAGTATTATGATCATATCGATAGAAAAGCACAGAGAGAAAATGGGCAGAGGGAAATCAAAGATCGAGATTAAACCGATCGAGTCACTGGCAGCTCGGAATGTATGCTTCACCAAGCGGAGGAATGGGCTGTTCAAGAAGGCATCGGATCTGTGCCGCCTATTCCCCGGAGTTAAAGTTGCGGCGGTGGTGTTCTCTCCGGCGGGAAAGCCGTATGTGTATGGCGACCCAACTGGGATTTTGGAGCAGGGCAGCGGCAGTCCTCTGTTTCCTTCGCCGTTGTCCGGTGATCCGGTGATCCGAGGGGCGCAACTGCAGGGCGGGTGTCCTTCGCCGTCCTCGGTTCTGGCCGGTGACCATCTTATTTCTGAGCCCTGCGGCTACTCACCAGTTGAGAGGAAGACTGGTTGGGAAGACGATTGGCTAATTAGTGGAGAAGACATTGAATCAATGATCCAAGAGTTGCAGGGCGGTGATCATCTTATTTCCGACCCCTCAATTCAGCCGGAGATACTCAGAGAAGAAGATGTGGGTTCAATGATCCAAGAGTTGCTGTGGTCGTAGGGCCTTACTATTATATTTTGAACTGATCCCGCCATCAATTTTACTCTCTTCTGACTTTAGGGTTTATATCATCGAGAATTGCTATTATTATGGGACTAAAGTATATATAATCGTGCTCATAATGCCAATTATTGTATGTATTACACGATCTCAGTTCCTTATTTCATTCTTTTGTCAAATGTATACACAAATTATTATCTCCACAAATTATTTAATTTGAGATGTTATTATTATTTAGTAGATGCATGATTCATTTTTTATTTTAGCATTCTCGGGAATTGCATTGACATATTGGTTGATTACGAATCAAATGTCTTCTTCTATGTTATTATCTAATTTTAACTGTATCTCTATTCAATATTAATCGATTTAATTAAACTAAGAACACTAACACAGGGGCTCTGTGGCGACTGTGTTATGGTGGGCTTAAATAAACCAAAATTTTCTTATATGGAGTACGTTTTAGTGTGAACTGTTTTCGTTTTTTCCCATTTAGCCTTAGCTGCTGGTGCTGCAAGACTAGTGTAATCACTCTCTAGTCCAATCTAATTCCTTGATCTGCCCTTGAATTGTTGAGTATTTTAAGTGATGGAATGGTAATCCATCCAAGAACACATTCATTCAGGTAAACTGAGAATTTTGGCATTCAGTGTGATAAAGGTATTGCTTTAGGGTTTTATTAATTTATGATTTTTTCACATAACTATAATGATTAATAGAGATTTTCATATGCAAGAGGTGGCTAAGTTTTTTAGTTAATTGTGTAATTTCTTTTTGCTATCGAATGGGGTTTGTCGACCATTTGTTCCTTTCTTCAATTATGGATTGCTTAATTCGTTAATTGATCAAGTAATTGCCTTTGTATGGAATGAAATATTCAATATCACTGCTTCCAAGTATATTTAAAGTATACTTGAGAGTCCAGACACAATCACATGATTGTTAAGCAAACAGCTATACTTGAACTAGATGATGAAATCAAAGCTCTTATTACGCCTCCATAGCAAAAGAAAACTCGGAGCTGTTGAACTTTTATTTTGGATGATAACTTTCATTTTATTTATCATAAGTTCCTTAGTTGTTCTTTCAATTAACTGTTTTTATCAAATATTCATGCTTTGACTTTTTGCATCCAGTTGCCCATTAATGTTAAAAATGACCATAGACTCATACATAATGATGTTCTTCTGCACACACAACTAAGCAGAATTATGCTGATTTCTTAGTCTATTCAATTAATAACGAACCGTTTTTAAATGCAGTTCAATATACATTCTTGCCACTCATTAATATACATAATTATCTGAAACACAAATAAGGCACTCAAAATGAATAAAGTAATCTTTTGATTAATCAAGTTCCTTAATTGCATAGTTGGTTATTAGCAGGATTTCTTTAAACGGCATGCACATTTGCAAGAAGATTAATGGTAACGTTGCCTATATGATTTCAATCTATTCGGAACAGCATATATACATTTCAATTGTCATTTTTGTGTTGTTACAAAAGTTGAGTATGATTACCATCATGTAAATTTGGAAATTTACAGCGTTCAAAACATAAATTAGACCTTTTCTGTCTATTTAATATTTGTTGTAGTAAAAAGTACAACAAATATTTAGGTAATTAGGTTGGTCTCGTCATCTAATTACCTTAACGTTAAAATCTCTACAGTCAAATAAGAGTTAGCTTTAAAAGATCGTACTAGTTTTGTTTTTATATATAGACTTGCTAGCTTTCTAGAATATTTGATGGTGCAAGATACTTCTCTCCTATAAATAAAAGGAAATGACATGCTATCATCTTTTAAATGACGTTTGATTTAATTAATCAAGTCACATTAAACATATTTTAATATTTAAAGTCGTCCATCAAATTACAATAGTGAGTATTTCTGAGTTCAGCCATTATCGTTACCAAGCTAAATGGGAGGGAGCGTTTTTTTTGCTCGATTAATAGTCTAATAGTATCACATAGGGGTGTTTGGTTAGGAGCCTATCAGCCATATTTTGGCTGATTTGACCATTAGTTGATTTTTTGACCAGATGAATCAGCTATTAGGATGTTTGGTTAATGGCTTTTTCACTTGGCCTTTAGTCCCAAACAACCAAAAATGAAAAAGCTAACAAATATGACGTTTAGGTTTTGGCTTTTCAATATTCGTCATTACATTCCTATTTTACCAAGCTTCTCTTTCTCTTCCCATAATTTCTCTTCCAATTTGATGTGCTTCTCTTTTTAACCGACATCCACTAAGCTAAATATCTTACGCCAAAGAGTAAAATTTAGCAGTGGGAGCAACACATGGTTGGAGTTCCTTCATAGTTTAATTTAAGTTGATAATACTTTAGGAATGAACCTAACGTTTAGCCAACCGGGACAATGCATAACCACTGTATTGCTCCCTCTATACTACGTATGGTATGTATGTATCATATTAAATTAACTAAATATTAATTCATGAAAAACAAGTTTTAACCAAATTATTATTTGTGTTTATACTTGTTTAGTTTTTAAAATCATAAAAAACGTACCGTACAAGTTGTTGTACAAATTAAATTAATAAAAATATAATGGATGTCCTTGAAAGTCATTTAATAAGTTATCAGCTGATTGTAAACAGCCGTTTTACCAAACACCATTTTATAAACATTTAATATTATCGGCTAATCAAAACAGCCAACTGAATCTGCTATCATCAATCAGCCAACTACTATCAGCCAACAGCCACTTGTCAAACACTCTCATAGTACATTTCTTTTATTTAAAATATATGCTACAAAAAGTTCATAAGTATGGGATCAAATGAATCACCTCTAACTTGACAAAAAAGTAATAAGAAAAAGATCATCTCATAAGTATTAAATGAGTCAAATAATAGGAAGTAGGTATCATGTGCACGACATCATACTAGTAGAAGATGGATGTAAGTATGTAACAAAGTCGGTTTGTTTCCTCCTGTAACGTTCTATTTTTTTCCCCAAAATTAGCGGGTTAGCAGATTTGAGCCTTCCACAAATTCTAGCTGTCTCATAATGTTTCTTTTCGGAATAATGTTCTCCTATGGATGCTCAAAATCCAAGTCCCAACCGGCTCTATCTTGAAAACATCTTTATCACTTTATTTACCTAGTAACGATCTAATACTTTCATTAAAATTATCTTCTAAATAGTAATACTCACGAACTGTTCGTAAAAATTCCGAAGTGAATTTTGTTCATTTTTTGAAGAAATTCTAAATAAACTTTGTTGTAGACTTGTAGTTGAATATAACATTGACTATGCATAATTTATTTTGCATAATAGTTCTTTTGTGCATTGATTTAAATAAGTTTTATGCTACTTGAACTAAGAAATTCTTGATTGTGTTTATTATTTTTTATGTTTAATTTTGAAACAATTTTTGGCTTGAGAATATGATGGAATAAAGCAAAATGGCTCACTAAACTGTCTGCGCTTCTTTGTTATGAAGCAACAGTCAGTCCATGCAATTTTTGGACGCGATTTTCACTATGGGTCATCCGGAAACAGTCTCTCTGTGCTTTAGTACAGGGGTAAGACCGTGTACATTCGACCCCCTTACCCCACCGTCGGTGGGAGCCTTTGCGGCACTGGGGTAAATGAAAATGAAAATGATGATGATTTTTAAACACTTTGCTATTAGATTTTATGATTTGTTTTTATATATTGGATTCAACTATTAATGTTATATATTATACTTTTTTATCATTAAATTTAAAATGAGCATTCGCCAATTTTACAATGTGCATTGTATTAACATCGGTTGAGCTTTATTGTTAGGGGAAAATAATTTAAATACCCCGAATTTTGAAAAGGTGTGAAGTAAGCACCACAAACTTTCGTATGTAATATTTATACTTCATACTTTATAAAAAGTATTAAAGTAGTAATATACGATGTACCATGAGCATATATTTTCTCTCTCTCATAATGTAAATTTATGACATTTTAACTACACCTTTATAATTTTTTATGGGAAAAGGTACATATATACCCCTGTAGTGTAGGTGGAGGAACAAATATACCCCCGTTCAATTTTTCGGAATAAATATACCCCTGAACTTTTAAAAAGATGCAAAAAAATCCCTCTTTTTTTATATAGGAGTAAATTAATCCTTATTGACTTTAAATTAATCAAATAAATTTCAAAAAAGACCAAAAATAAATTAATAAATCGAAATTAAAAAATAAAAAATTTAAAAATGTAATTGTGTCCATTTCTCGCTTTATTGTTTTTATATCATAATTTAATATTTTAAGTATAAAATATTATTTCAAAATATGTAATTTTATAGTGCAAAGAATGCAAAAAATTAATTTTTGTCTACATTGCAAAACATATGTTGCACCTTTCCGAAATAATCTTAAACATATAGTAAAATTTTGAAATAATATTTCATGCTTAAACAATATTTAATTGTGATATAAAAACTATAAAAGGGAGAATTAGACACTATTACATTTTAAAAATTTTTGTTTTTAAATTTCGAATTTATAATTTATATTTGATGTTTTTTGAAATTTATTTTATTAATTTAAAGTCAATAAGGTTTAATTTGCCTCTTTATAAGAACATGGGGATATTTTTGCACATTTTTAAAAGTTCAGGGGTATATTTGTTCCGAAAAATAAAATAGGGGTATATCTGTTCCCACACCCATACTACAGGGGTATATTTGTACATTTTTCCATTTTTTATTGCTGCACCTCTATAAATGTTTAAGGGAGTGTTTACAATTGTTTTTGCTTAAAAAAGAACTTCTTTGAAGTGATTTTGGAAAATTGTTTAATAGTAAAAGTTGATAGTGTTTGAGCAAAAAGTGATTGTGAAAGTAAAAATTGGTAGTGTTTGGTAAAATAAGTATTTTTGTGTAATAGAAAAAGTAAAAAGCACTTTTCACACAAAAGTCGAGAAACACTGTTTAAGTAGAAGTTGTTATTTGAACACTTCTTTTTAGTTTTTTTTATAAGTATTTTAAACCATGTGCTTGACACCATAAATTTACATTTTCGAATAAAAAACACATAGTAATGATGCTAACATAACTTTAAAGTTTGGGGCGCTTATCCCATATGTAGAGGTCGTTTGGCAAAACTGTTTTTCGGGTTATCAGACTTATCAGCCAATTTTTCACCAAAAACGTAATTTTTGCTTTCGCGCGCTGAATTGTGTAGTATGCAGAAAAAGTAAGGTTGAAGTTACATTTCTAGCTGTATTGGTCGAACTTACTA